GTTATCCGGTTTAAATAATATCCGGACAAGGCATGGGCGATTTAAGTATTCGGATATCAATTCGGACACTACTTGCACGGTTTACATGAATCATCATCAAATATGCAACCAAATTCATAATAATCAGTTCTAAATGCTTATCAGACTGTATGTAAACAATTCATATCCAAAGCTTTTAATACACTCACCTTTTTGAAATGAGAATCAAAACCCTTTTGAGACCTTCTTCTTCTTCCTGTGCAAATCTTTAAAACTCTCCAGAGCAACTTTCCAAATATAGTAGGTGTATGTATATGTTTTTCTTCACAACAACTATATATATACATACACAACCACAAGGGGAAGTGAGGGGCGGCTCAATAGCCGACTCCCCCTCTTTTTTTTATTTAAAATAATATACACACACATATCCAAACATATACATAACATATATAACTAAAATAATAACCAGACTATTACACCTTACACCCCAAGCTAAGGCATTTAGCCCATCATCGCTCGGTTTCTTCTCGCGAAGGATGTAAAGACTAAAAAATAAACAACTGATGTGAAAAAGTAAATTGTAGAAATTAAATTGTGAGAATGTAAAGACTGTAAATTGAGGTGCGGAAATATAAATAACTGAAATTAAATTGTTGGAAAGTAAATTGCAGTAATTAAAATACTGGAAAGTAAACGACGGGGAATTAAATACTGAAAATTAAAGTGCAGAAAAGTAAATACTGGAAACTAAAATTACTCTAAAAGAGATGACATAAAGTAAAAGAAAGTACTAGCAAATAATAAAATAAGAAAACTTGCACTTTAAGTTACGAAACTTGCAAAACAAGTTTCGTTATTAAAAGTGAGGGTATACTTAAAAACACTTGGAAAACAAATTTTTATCTAAGAAAATTAATCGTGAGCCACAAAGGATGAAATCCAGTGTATTGCAACAATAATCGATTATTTCCACTTTGTAACTAAAATTAAAAATCTTTTAAAAATTGCAAGTAAGAAAGAAAGAGATAAAACTTGAATACTTGAACTTATATAAATGTTTGAGAACAAAATACACTTGACAATTTCGGTTCTTGTTTCAAGCAAGGAGGCAAGGAAGCCGAAAGCTTAAATAAAGACTAGAGAAAACCCAAAGGTAGGTTAAAAATACAAAAGAAAGCTTATACAATAAGATAGCCTAAAGCTCAAGCCTTAAATCAGCAGCTATCTTTTCCTGCCCAAAGTTTCGGCCCAAAATAAAAGGTGTGGCCCACTGCTTGCTCCTATAGGTACTTTAGAAAGGGGGTTTAAAGCATGTATGAGAAATTAAACCGTAACCCTTAGTAGTACCAATAGTTCACATACTTGTACCTCCTACTATTTTATTCAATTAGGACTTCAAATGGTCCTAAGAAACAATTATTGTTCCAACTTATCAAAAATCCCACTTGATCAACAACCCTAATTAGAGTAAAATAAACCAAACCTTCATTCATATCCATAAAATTGGATGTTTGAAAATCATATATGTTTCACCCTGTTTGTGGTTGAGTTCACGAAAAAAACAGAATGAGTTGGAATTCACCAGGAAAAGGGTAGTAATTGTTGATAAAAGAAACGAGAAGTTGGATAGGGGTTCACTAAGAAGGAAAGTGAGTCTAGTTATGCGTTTCCAAGGGAAGAGGGAGGTGAGGTTGGGGGATCGAAGAAAATTAGTTGAGGGAGGTTGAAGGTTGAAGGAGAGGCGAGGGCTTGGGACATTGGCCTTCAAAGAAAGATTGAGGTGGGTCGCTGGGGGAACTCAAACTTGAGGTCGTCGATGAAAGATGGTGGTCGTGGTCAGTGGCTAACAGATTTAGGGAAGTTATGTTGGGTGGAATTGAGCACCATAACCGAATCGATTGAAACATTTTTGGATTTCTTCTGGTGAGGTTGTAAGGAGAAATGTTCGCAGAGTTTGAAAAGATGGAAAAGAGAAATGACGAAACTTGGGGGCAAAGCTTGTAGCCAGTGGTGTATGACGGTGGGGGTGATTTCACAATCTATGTGTTTGTGTGTGTGTGTGTGTGTGTATATATATATATATATATATATATATGGCTCATCAAATACAACCTTTTTAAATGCTGCAACCAATGCAACTTCATCCCAACCACACAATTAAACAATCAACAATTAGGGATAAAGCGATTGCATTTAAAAAAAATTAAAAACAAAAATACTCCTTAAAAGGGGGATGATCTACGGTTAGGATAAATTTCATTGGGTTGCATTGGTTGCAACATTTGAAAATGTTGCATTTCATTTGAATATATATATATATATATATATACACACACACACATACACAGAGAGAGAGAGAGAGAGCGTGAGAGAGAAAAGAGAGAGAGACGAAAGGATCAAAGGAGAATAAAAGTTAAAGTGAGAAGCGTAAGATGTAATCTGGACCCTTGATCACTTTTAATCTCATCCCCATCCCATGAATTCTTTCTTTTCATGGGAATTGATCTAGTGCATCTGATGATCTCATTAAGGTTGATCCAAAAGTGGAGATCCTTTTTTACCATTTTCATCTTAACGGAACCCAAGCATCAATATATATATATATATATATATGTATATATAACATTATATGTGTAAAAATATTATATTAAGTAATTATAAAAATATAATAGTTGTTTTTATTTTTTTAAAAAGAAAACTTGAAAAAGACAAAAAAGAGAAAAATATTAAAAAATGCCCTTCATTTAACGGGTGTGATTTAACTGTTGTTAGTGGCAGGGATAAAATCCTTAAGAAAATGCAAACTCTAGATATCAAATGGAAATGATCGAAAGAGTTAACTCGAGGTTTCCAAAAATTATATTTCAGCTTTTTACTATCAGGTCTAAATTTCTCAACCTTGACCAATCCATCAATTAGAAAGAAGATGGTGTGATCTTTGTCAATCCCAACATTCTTTCTTGGATGGACCTAAAATTGTAGAGGAGAAGAAAGTAAAACAACCGATCATTTTCCTTTTTAAAGTATCTAACTAAAATCAAGATAATTAACAAAAGAGAATATCATATCGTTGAAATTACTGATTAATGCTACATTGAAACATGAAATTATCCACGTGGAGGACGAAAGTTATGGGTTCGGTTCGGATTTGGTATAAGGACACAATCCATGTGCTTGTCACATTAATCCCGCACTTTGACAGATTAAGATTAGTTAGGCAAAACATTTGTTTCAAGCAAAAAATTCCATCATAACTAATCCTATCACACTCAGTCAAATCAAGTACCACCAAACAATTCCTCGCATCCCTATTTGCCACATACGTCAAAAACAATTCAGTAATCAAATGAAAACCTTGAAAACTCAAACTCTAAAACAACGTGCTTCCCCAATATCTTTGAGTGATTCATCTGTGACATTTTGTAAAATTTTCAGAAAAATGTAGATTATTAATAGGCAAAAACAGATCCATGAATTGAAATTTCTTGTACTTACAGCTTTAGATGGCTCAATGATGGATGCCATTACGATAGGTTCTAAGCAAGTGATTGGAGTGCATTATGACTTATCAGCAACAAGAAAACTTAAAAGATGAGAGTGTGAAGTTGGTTTTAATAAAGATTAATCTAGAGACACGAAGAGACGGAGTGAGATAAACCTACAAAATCATCTCAATAATGCATAACCATGATTTAGTAGAGTCATGAGATTGTCTCGGTTTTCACTTTCACTAGATGATGAATTGAGATCTCTTCAAGTGCAATCGATTTTTGTGAGTAAAGAGAAATATAAGTGAAATATCTCGTTGTGTGTGAAATCAGTATTAACTAATTTGCTAAAGTGAAGAATAATGTGTATATATTAACAATATCAATTGAATCAATTTGTTGATGCCAGTATCATAAACCAAAAGTAGATTGAAACTGATATATACCTGAACTTCAATCTAAAAGCATATACAGTACCTCTTCAATTTCTTCCTCGTGGTGTGGTGTTTACAAAGTTTTCTATTAAAAAAATTGCTCAATACACAATCCCAACTAAAAACCCAAAATTTACCAACTGTAGATGACAACTAAGAACCTAAATATTAACTTACAACCGAAACAATTACCAACCACCAGATAATTATGATGATCAATGCAATACAAAAGGTCATGAAACCCGAAACACACAAAAACCGTAGTGATAAAGTAGTAAGATGAACCAATTTTAGCAAATCAATAACAATCAAAATATGGATCATATCAGGAACAAGATTTTGAGAGCAAGAGATCAAGAGTTTGAGAGAACACGTACCAGGGTGAGAGGGAGAGTTGCAAAGAGTCGAAAATCGAGAGGGGGGGGGGAGTTGGTCGATGTAGTGGAGAGAAAGTAAGGTTTAATCCTGTTTTAAAGGACATGGGAGAGAAAAGTGGGGTTTAATCCAAATTTAAGGGGATGGGACATGGGATGAGAATGGTTGGTATGGTAATTTAACACCTCTTAAAATTCAACACATAATCATTTTTTATGCTAGTTAATATAATATAGATATTATTAAATTCAAAAATTTCAAAGTTCATTTCGAAGATATTGACTAGATGATCATTGATATAATTTAAAAAAAATGTATTTTAGTTAATATATGAGTGCATTTTAATACAATAAAGGTGTAAAATAAAAATGAAAAAGATAAAGAATAAAACAAATTAAATACATGATTATAAGGTATAGAATGTAAGTTTCCTAAAAATGATTCACTATGTATTTATGTTATTTAATAATATGATTAAATTCAAAAGTATTCAGTATTGGCTTATTTTGAAGGTATTGATTAAACAATTACAATGACATAATTCATAAAAAAGAAAATATGATTTTAATACATTTTAGTTAATATACGATTATGTATGTTAATATATTAAGATGCAAAAAAGAAAAGAAGAGAAATACAAAATAAATGAAATATCTAATAACAATTTACCATGTTTTGTAATATAGTACAGTATAGATAGCAGAATAGTCAACCAAAAATGGAATGCCACAACTATCGACATTAATTTGTCTTAATTGAAACTAGTATGCTATGATTGACATACATTCAGCTATCGTAACATTAAGCTTAGAAAATATACAGAAAAGATAAAGGACACAATCATTAGAAGAGAATTGAGCTTATCGCCAAAATCCCTTTTTTCTTCTTCCTTTTTTACCCACTCAATTCTCTTCTTTCTTAATTGCTTCAACTTCTGGTACATCTCCCTTCTCTCATCATCATCCACCACCTTCCTCTTCACACTGTTTTTTTCCAAAATTGCCCCTTGTGTAATTACCAAAAACTCCCTCCCGTTTAGGCAACAACAATCCAAATCCTGTAGTTGTAATGACACCTCCTTGACGTGCAACCCCACACCTCCTTTACCAGCCCCTAATACGACCTGTATTCTACACTGTACCACTTCGTTCGCTTCACATCCTGGTAAGACGGTGACGTATCGGAGAAGGGTCTCGTTGGTCATCCAGTCCTGCCTTGCACTCACCGCTTTGATGCTGGATAGGTTACCTGCCCGTTTCAGGGTCGGGTCGATTAGGATCCAGTTTAGTGTTACGGATTCTTTCAGGTGTGATAATGTTTCTTGGTCAGCTCCTGCCAGCTCGTCGACTTTCAAGTCGATGGATTGGAAGTTTTCAGGTACGGGGTCGTTTAATTCCATCCGAAACGCCGGCGATAGGAAATCAGTTGTGGTGTCGGTGATTTCGATTCTGGAGAAAATAACGTCATTTTGGTAGCGGATATCGATGGCTGAGATGAGTTCGGAAGGAAGGTTGAGATAACAATCTGATTGGGATTTAGACCAGGTGCGAGGGCGGTTATGGTGGTTTACGTCGGTGACTAGTGCCGGAAAGGAATCGTCAAAGAAAGATCGGTAGCCGGTGGGGAAGGAGGAGATGAGGTGATGGAGATGTGGGTGGTTTATTGAGGGCCAAGTGGAGTTGGAGACGTGGGCCCAGAGATGGTCGTCGGAACAGAGAGCTTGCAGATAGGATGAGGCGGCGGCGGCGGTGGAGAGAGATGGGCCGTCGAGTCGTGGTAAGATGTGGGTCTGGATGATATGAGGGTGAATGTCAGCGAGAGTAGTGATGGCCATGGCAAGAGATGTGGTGCTTTTGGGAGACGACGAGAATTGCTTGGAACCTGCGGCCATATTTATAACCGAAGAGCTGCTGCACAAGTGGGTGATTCGTTGATAATATTATATTAACAAAAAAAGGTTTAAAATAAGAAATTCATGCTGGATGGAATTTATAATTTATAATGCTTTTCTTATAATTTATAAGATCTAAAAGTTGCTAAAGATTGTATTATTGTTAAGTTTTTTAATGAAAAAAATCTTCAATATATTATTATTGGACCTATGATTTTTACTGAGTGGATGCACCTTTTTAAATGTCCGTAAAACTGTTTGATGTATTTTTAGACGAATCGTGTCTATGGGGTTTTTAAGGTTTTTTGTTGATTTCGAAGGATTTTTTAAGTTTTTTGGTTGATTTCGAGGATTTTTTTGGTTTTTTCCTAGTGAATTTTTCGATTTCTTTGATTGATTTCAACACATGTGCATCTTTCAACACATATACGCCATAAACTATAGCGGGTGCATCTTAGGTAACAAAAATAAAAAACCTTCTTACAAATTAAGGTTGAGCAACAACACGGGATCCCGCTCCTCCATTAAATCAAATGTCATTTTAGCCTTTTGCTTATTATTTTGTCTTTTTTCCTATGAAAAAGGTAAGAACAATATTTTTATATGAGTCTTTATGTTTTGATATTTTTTTAGGGCAAATTGCATGAAAAAGTAACGTACTTTAACTTGATTTTTATTTTGGGTAACGTACTTTCAAAACTTTCATTTTGGTACCTAATATGTAAAGTTTTAAACATTTAAGTACCCGGGTAACTCAGTGAAGACTAATTTTAGACCAAAAAAAGACTAATTTTAGATTTAAAAAAATCTACGTCATGGGCCAGGTCAGCAAATAATACCGAGTTGGATACCACATCACTCGACACATCAGCATGATAATCGGTTAATATTTCAACCAGTTACCCGGGTCTTTAAATGTTTAAAACTTTACATCTTAAGTACCAAAATGGAAGTTTTGAAAGTACGTTACCCAAAATAGGAATTAAGTTAAAGTACATTACTTTTTCATGCAATTTGCCTCCCCCCCCCCCCCTTTTTTTACTATGGTCCCTATAATATGTGTGATCTTTTTATAAGAAAAAGGCAAAAGAATAAAATGACCCTTGATTTCACGAAGGCCTTAGTCAGAGAGATAACATTAAAAAAAAATTGAATACCACAAATACCAAATCCACAATAAACATAATATCAGGACCGTAGTAAAAAAAAATCAAAACACAGGGACCAAATTCACAGTTCACTCTAATTTATATAACAATCAATAATTATTTCTAAATTAATATTATCTATCATATCATTTTTACATAACATCGTCGATTCGTTCAACAGTCAAAAACATCCTATAATATACTTTTAATATATAATTTGACATCATTTGGGTTCACAATATTCACTTTTCAGAGTAACAATCTAAGTAATTCAATATAAATCAGTTGGATTTCCATGTTACTTTAGGTTATAGTTTGAGATGTTATTTTTGTTTTAGAGATAGAAGAGTACTTAAGGTGTTATAAGGAGTTAATAATGTATGAAAAACAAGGATAGTCTTTTAAATATATATATATATATATATATATATATAGGGTATATTTCAAATGCAACAACGTCTATTTGTACAACCAATGCAACCCAAGTAATTGAGATATTTATAGAAATGATGAGAGTTTATTTATTATGATTTGAATATTTATGGAAAATGAATAGAGTTCATTAATTATGATCAATACTTTATATTAGGAAACAATCAAAACTTCTATAAAATCACATATTCATCAAATTAAATGGACGGTTGAGATTGTGTTGTATTGGTTGTACAAATGTAAAAGGTTGTATAATAACCAACCTCTATATATACATATACATGTATATAGACTTGGGATCACGTGAGGCCAACCTGTTTTCGTGAGACCCATGAGACCACATTTTTACACTTGAAACTTCACAGCAAAACATTGTGAAAGTAAAAAAGTCGTTTCACGCTGTGAAGTTTCAAATATAAAAAATTGGTCTCATGGATCTCATAAAAACATACTGATGTTATGTTAACCCAACCTTATCCATATATAGCTTCTCATCGATTGGAAATGGTTGAACGTAGTAAGCTTTTTTGTTTTATAAGAGTAGGTTATCCAAAGGGAAAAAATAAACGTTTTAGGTTAACATTTTTTACTTTATTATTGTAACCAATGAAAATGTAAGGGACTGTTTACTAAACGCTTACTCGGGTAAGTGAACATCAAATTACATTACCTTACCGGATGAATATGGTAAGGACCAAAAATCTTACTCGGTAATAACGAGATAAAGCCAAAAGTCTTATCCAGTAAGTGAGAACGACGACTCTTACCATGGTAAGCGTTTACCAGGTAAATTGTTGCGTACGATGCCGTTTTGGTAAACTAAAAAATCTTACCTGGTAAGTAAATGATAATATTAAATTTACCGGTAAATACTTATCGGGTAAGTGTTTGATAAACGGACCCTAAGTTTTACTTAATTATGTCTGTATGGAGCATTTATGGGCTTTAACTTCCCTTAAATGCCATCCATTAAATGCCTCATTTTATTTTCCAATATTTTTAAAATCAAAATACATATGTAAAATAAAATTCACATGCTTGTTCCCAAATTCCTCACATTTAAAAGAATTTGATGTAAAGCTACACTGCTTCATCCTGTTACAATCCAAACACTCAATAATAACACAATTTACGTTTTAGTAAACGAAAACCTACCACTCTAAAGACGTAAATAACATTAAGTAATTAACACAATAACATCAAGAGTTGAGTTTCGATAAGAAGGAGAGTTAAGGTGAGAAGTATAAGAAGGGATCTCCACCATTGGATACACATTAGGATGATGAGATGCACCGAATAAATCCCCGTATCAAGCGCAATTTATGGGTGGGTTTGAGATTAAAGGTGATTAAATATCCAGATCCCTTTTAATGTTTTTTTCATCTTAACTCTCCTTCTCACTTGATCATTCAATTCATCTATCATCAAACGTAACTTATAAACATATAAATAACATAAACACAAATGCTTAACATTAAAATTTAGCATTATACCCTAACTTTATAAACATGCAAATACCATTAGTAAAAATATTTTTGGACAATTTTTTTTGGAACAAATAAGTCATTGGACATTCCAAAACATGTTAAATAACTCTTTAAACTTTCTAAAATCTGTTAGATACATTCTTATTACCTATACAACTAGTTAATGTGAAAAAATAATGGAAAAAGTCTGAAAAAGGACCAATGAACTTTCATATTCTGAACGATTAAGTCCCTAAATATTTTTTGAACAAAAAAAAATACTTAAATTTATAAAATGAAACAAATATACAAAAAAATACTTACATTTACAAAAAAAAATTTACATTTTGAAAAAGATTATGAGTGAAATTTATTTTAATTAAAAATAAAATATATTCTGTCAGAGAT